ACACTACTCTCTCTCTCTCTCTCTCTCTCTCTCTCTCTCTCTCTCTCTTTCTCTCCTCGCGGACGAAGGAAGGAGAGAGAAAGAAAAAAAAGAAATATTCGACTTACGTCATCTCTGTCCTCGCGGAGATCGTCGTCAGCGCTCTCCTCGAGGACGAAGCCCACGTCGTTGTTGTTCCTGGCGAGTGAGGGCAACTTCCTGGGTGTCAGCTCCTCGCCGTCCGTGTCTCTCTTGCGCTTGCCACCGTCCCTGTGCTCGTTCAGCGTGGTCTCGTGCTCGTCCAACATGTCGGTGACCATCAGTTCCGACTCGACGCTCGTCGGGGATACGACTTCGTCCAGCGGTGACATGGTCGACCTGTCGGCTTCGCCGGCCTCCAGCACGGACATGATGGGCCACTTTTCCCGCCGCGGATGCCTCCTCGATGGTCACGATCACCAGAATTCGCGACAGACAGTCGGGCCTCGTCTTCGACAAGACGAGAGGTGGCAACGAGGCACCTCCACTCTTCAAGTGAGTACGGATCCACGTTCATAGATCCTTCCTTCTATATGCCCAATTTCCTTTCCATTCAACTATTCTTCTTGCTCATATTACATCCGATGTGAACGATGCGCTTCTTGTTGTCGTTCAATCGCTTTCACGCGATAACACTCTCCTTTCGAATTCTTTTTCCTTCGAGAGTACGTTGACATATGCTCGACTTGGTATATATCTCATCGATCGATTTCGAGCTTGTCCTCGAACGAAGATATTCGTTAAGAATCGGCACGGGTTTCGAGGATCGGTGGCCAAGGATTCGTACATTCGTGACGAGTCCCGCGTTCGCCCTGCCCGAAGACAATGGGCTGATAAATCGCCTGTCCCCGATAACGGTGCCGCTCACCGGTAAACAGAATCCCGGCCGGAGCCGGAGTCCAATTTTCCAAACGAGCCTGACCTTCTTTTTCCTCTCGGTGGCGACCAGTCGGCCGATCGAGAGCCGCAACCGAGGAACACCTGCTGCTCACCCAACGCTCGAATGCGAACGAAACGGAATCACTATCGACTCCAAGCTAACGATTCCAACATCCTTTTTTTCCCTTCCTCTCTCTCTTCCGCCTCTTCGAATCGAACGAGAGTTTTTGAGTAAAGAAAAAAAGAAGAAAAAAAAAAAAAATAGGAACGTTCGAAGGAAGGGTATCGGATGCGAATTCGATAGCAGAGTAAGATTTCGCGAAAGGGACGATCGACTTGCAGTGAAGGAGCGGCGGCAGCCACGCAGCGCAGAGGATTCACGTGTGCGTGAGGCACGCAGCTTGGAAACCAGACGTAAAACGATCCCGCGGCGCGCGTCTCTGCGGGCATTAAAGTCTCCCGGCTTTCCACCGGTCCCACTGATCGATGACGCAGGAAACCTGAATTCTTGCGGCCGATCTCCTCGCTCGGTTTAATAACACACCGCTCGGCCACGGTGTAATTAAACTCCTGGCCAATTACACGGCCCGATGTGATCCGCGCTCGATCGGCATAGCATCGAAAATTGCGCGGCTTTCCTTCAAGAACGATGACACGGACGAGAACTCGTGGACGAGGAGGATCGATCGCGAGCGGAGTTAAGGCGCAGACGCGCTGAAAATTACGCGCAAAAAAAAAAAAAAACGTAGGCCGGTGGCGAGTCACGTGGCGGGCTCGCGTGCGATCACGTTGCTTCCCGCTACCGTTCTCACATCCACAGCCTCGGCCTGATTTCACCGTGGAATCGTGTCGCTAATACGACTGCACACGATCGATTCCCGCACACTTCCTTCCGCAGGCATCACGACTCCCGATCCTGCTCCGTGCTCGATACCTCGTGCCCCACGATTCTCGCTCATTCTAGTTTCCAAAGATCCTCCTCCAAGATCCAACATCCCCCTTCCTTCTTTCTTTCAAGAACGTGAACGTGATTCGTTCGGATGTTTTTTTCTTTTTTTTTATTATTTACTCGAAATTTTATCACTTTCGAAAAACACTTGTTGTACCACTACTTGTCCCGTACCTCACTTGATCTCAGTTTCTATCCTCCTTTTCGAACCAGTCGATTCGAAATTGTCCAACACAAGATCGAGCAACAACACGCGCGTAATTTTCCTTTCGGTCCAGTGATCCGGTCCAAGTCGATCCGTCTTACGCAACGTGATTCAACGCGGTCCACGTCTTCGAAACGTCCTCTCTCTCTCTCTCTCTCTTCAAGAAAGACAGACAGAAAAAGAGACAGAGAGAGAAAGAGAGAGCCCTCGCGTTGACGTTCCGTGGCGGAGAATCCGCGGTCCCGATCTCTCAGTCACGTGGCCGGCCGTGTCACGTGGGGGCGGAGAGGACGGCCGCGGGGCGGGAGGGGGCGGAGGATGGCGCGCGAACGCGGCCGCGATTTTCGAATTCGATCGACGACGGCGAGAGAAACTCAAGTTGGACGATCGGCGAGGTATCGGTTCGAAGGTCGGCGAGGACCGATCGTGCGACACCGCGTTGCCGCGCGCGCCTCTCGAGAATGGCCTAGAGGCGAAAAGAGGAAAGGATCTCCTCGAGTGGCGCCGCCCGCGGCAGGAGGGGGCAAATCTCTCTCTCTCTCTGTCTCCAAGCGTTGGACCACCACCACCACCATCACCACCACCATCGCCGCCGCCGTCTCCTCTTGGCCGCTTCCACGGCCACCGTCCTCCGCCACCACCGCCGCTACCAGGGCCGACGATGCCACCATCGGTATCACCAGCTCGCCGTCCACCTTCGCGAGAGAACGCCGATACCAGCTGTCCTCCGCGGCTCCCTCTCTCCTCCTCTTCCACGCCGTGCCCACTCCCCACCCGATTCCCCACCGAGGCTACGTCGGTCTCCGTTCGACCAACGGCTTGCCGCCTCTTCGAAGAGACGCATCATCGGATGATAGCCTGGCCGAGAAGCAACTAGCCCTAGGATTTGCTAGGATCTCCCTTTTTTTCGATACGTTTTTTCTTCTGGCTTCTTATTCCTCATTTTTGTTTTAAATCTTTGAAAAATGGGTGGATCGGACACCCATTTGATCGATCGTAATTATTTATTATCAGGGAAAATGTTGGAAGGTTTTTGGAGGAAAGGGATAGGAGAGTATATACTTGTTAAATTTTAATGAAAAGAATGTATATATAATATTCGTGTTTACATTAATCCACGTTTTTGCGCGTATTCCGCAAGCTTTTCTGCGTTCAAATTTTGCACGAATGCATAAACATGTATCTGCGATTTATGCATAACGCCTATTTTTTTTCTTCGTCATGAATATTCATACGTACGTACTTTTTTTTTTTTACGGATAAATCTGACGGATTCTATCGATCACTCCAATTCGATCTTCGCGATCGAGTCGTTTAATAACAGGTAACGTCGTATACTTTCGCTAATTTTCGCCTCATTACAACCGCAATCAATCTGTCAACCGATCGAGACGGTATCAAAGAGGACGGTAGACCGGGAATCATTACTTCCGTTTCGTGTTCAAGCTGTGACAGTGGACGTCGACACCTCGATCCTTTTTGCCCGATCATCTCTTTAAATCGCTACCAAGCTTTTAGCGATCCGATCGGCCAAGTAAATCGCGTTCGACCGGTCTCTCCCTCCCCCGTCCACCCTTGCTTCCTTCGCGGTCCTCGACCGGCGTCTTCTTGTCACTCTACTAATTAGCATCCGGTAAGCAGAGCTGCGATGCTCTTATTTCCCTTAGGATGAGACGCTTCGATGCTTTTAATCGACGCGTTGTGTATGATTGAACGTGAATATTATTTTATCACGAAGGGGGGGAAGAAAAAGTGGCGCAATAAACGCGATAGCGTCTTTCTTCAATCGAGTCTTGCCGTTGGTTGTACGTTACTTTTGTTTTGATCGAAGAATTATCGTTCGAGAGGAAGGATCGAAGATTTAAAGCGATACGGAACTTGATTGCACCTTCTTTTTTTTTTTTTCGTTCTAATCGAGGAATATTAATATTTATTAGGTGAGAAAATGTTGAAGTTGAGTTGTCGAGAAAAAATATAGGAAAATTTTATAAAGGAATGATAATAATAAGAGCGGCAAATATTGGCGATTGAAACATTGTAAATTTCAATTATTAAGGCAGAATGAATTATTATTATATACATGTATTGGAAAACTCGTATACAAAAGATACGTGATTGCAATGTCGATTGATCGTTTTACGAATACGTTTGAAAATGAATCGTTACAAGATATTAGATATAATCTTGAAGAATCAAGACAGATAACATCTGATAATCGCCTCTGTATACACCTTCGATATCTCGGAAAATCTAAAGAAACAAATCAAAGAATATCAGAATTGAAATTGTAATTCTTAATGCGAATGAAATGATGTACGGATTTCTGTCTCCGATCCGAAATTCATTGATTCGAAATCGTTTCTTCTTCGTATTAATCGAGCGATTGATCCAATTAATCACTTTCGATCGATTAATTCACCTCGACAACATAACGTAATGTGGAGCGCAATTAAAATCGCCATTTTTATATCTTTCCCTCCGTTAATCGTCGAGAGAGATCGTTAATAATCGATATTTTTATGAATAACGCGCGCGTGCAGAGATAAAATAAGGGAGAGAGAGAGAGAGAAGAAAAAATGTCGGCATCCTGTGACAGGATAGGGAGACATTCCTCCATACGTTAACCCAAATATGAGCAACGGCGAACGTGAAATAAGACGCTCATTAAGAAGGAATGTTTTGCTGAGAAACGGTTAGCAACGGTATATAATTTAAACTTGCAATAAACTTGCTTTAGAGCACACGTTGTTCTATTACCTCATGTTATATGCCGCGACTAATATTCGCGCAAAAACCAACAAACGAATAGGAGGTAACCGCCTCAACCGCGGATTTATGGTGGAATAACTGAACCGTAATCGGTTGTGAATTACGCATCCATTGCCAACGATTACGTCATAAGTACCAATTTTCAAGAAATATTGTATCCTTTCCTAAAAGGAAAACTATTGTTGCTTTCAATTACGATGTTCTAACAGCCTTTTACATATATATATATTTTTTTCTCTCTTTCTTTATACAATCTTTATTATCAAAATTGGAACCATTCAAAAGTTTTGGTTTTTTTTATTAATATTTCCATACGAATTTCTTCATTTACTTCTTTCTTGTTTTTTCCATCTATTTTGATCGACAGATTAATCGCTAATTGATTGAATTTTTAAAAGTACAAGATTTTTGAATCGAGTTCGCGAATTTTCAAGTCACGTTTGGTTGATCGTAACATCTTCTTTTCTTAAATCAATATTTTGCTGGAATCGCCTCTCACCGATTCGATCCCTTGAAATTATCATCGAACTGGTGGAAGGAATAATTGGAGATGCGAGCTCTTCGTTATCAAGGATTCAACGAGTGAAAATATTCGGGTCAGATGAATAGGAACTGGCAACAGCGGACCTTGGAATCGCAGCTCCTCCTCCGAAGGAGGCTGGTCCCTCCGACATACCAAGACAGATCACCTCTTTTTTCCTCTTCCTCTCTCCGCACACCTGTTCAGCTTCGACTCGAGATCTGATCCCGCTTCCTATAACTTTTATTCTTTCCATTTTTCCTTAAACCTTTAAGTAATTCCATTGATAACTCATTTTTTTTTATTATACACAATGTTTATCTATTATAAAATTGTTGTAAAGACTTATCAAATGTGTAAAGACAAGCAACTCCTGATAATTGTCCGGAATAAGTACGTTGCATTTCATAAAATTTGCTATGGCGCAAGTATCAGGGTTAATAATGAATTTTAATAATTGTAAGAGTTGAGAAGCTAACAAATCGATTAAAAACCAATTTCACCAATTTCCACAAACCCTATCCTTTTGTGAATCAGCCACACCCCGTCCTCCCGAAATCTTCGACAACGTCGAACCTTTGGAGGGGAATTACTTATCGAAAACGTTCGACCAGCATCATCGAGAAGCAAGAGATCACTCGCGAGAAAGCCACCCACGTGCGTAATTATGAGATCACTGCCGAAAACAGCAGTGGATCCACGTCCAATAGGGGAGAAAAAGGCGGTTGTGAAGAGGAAGGGAGAAGGGAGGGAGGGGGGAGGCGAGCAAAAAGGAGAATGGTTAACGAACTCGTTCGACGCATTCCCCGTGTCAGGATACAAGGGGAGATACGTCGGCCGTGTTACAAGAACGTTGGTCGATATATCGTGACGTAAGCGAGGGAATTTCGAGGAGAACGAGCGCGACGCTCGTTCGAAACGCTTCTATGAAAGTGGAACGACGCTTGTTTCTCGCTGATTTACAATGTGTTACCCGCGTAAAAATAGACCGTGATCTATAAACGAGATATACGACCGTGTAAAATTGATTGTGACTGGGAGGGGAAGGAAGGAAAAAACAAAAAAAAAAAAAAAAAAAGGAAGAACGAAATTTGCAACACGTACCACGATGGACGATGATTATTACGAATTGGCTCGCTTACCGACACAATAATTTCGTTAAAGAGTGTAACTTATTTCACTCTTGCTCTATTCTCTTTTCAGCACAAGATGCTTAAATTCCAGAACTTATTAAATTTACGTAGAATTCTTTGGATGGAATTTTGATTAATCGATTTAATTCCATCAACTCTTAAAAATACATCTGCATATCATTCGTTCTTGGAAACTCGTTTTATTCACGTTTGCTTTTCTCTTGTTCCCGAATAATCCAACACCCTGTATATACTCGCGTGTCACGAACACGATCGTGGAAAGCGGCAGCGAAAGATACATTTTTCAGATTAGAGGAGGATTGCTCGATAATGGTGGATACGTCTTTCGGGTGTGGGACGGCATTGACGTTCCCCGGAGAAATCTTTGAGCATATTTTCACGTCTCTTGTAAGGGTGTCTCTGCCGGATGCAGATAGCGGGGGCCGTGTCGCACAATATGTGGCCACGTATGGAAGCCGCACAATGTCCCTGATGGTAAAGGCCATCCAACCTGCACGATACGACGTAATACCGGCTCGGATAATATATTGCTGTACAAATGGCACAAAGCCCCCCTCCCTGCCCTCACCTGTATCCGCCTTATCTACGCTCGATTTTCTCGGCGAGAAGGCTCTCTTCCTCGCCGGCTTTCTGCCCGTCTCGTTTCTCGCGAAAAACACGAAAAATCGGTTTCTCGGATCACCACCTATTTGTCACTCGTCCGTGTAATGAGATAAACGATAGATTGAAACGATAGATGAGAAAAGTCGAAACGTTATGGAGAATTATTTTTACTTTACGAGAGAGTCGTAAAGGGATTTTTATGCGATTATTGAACGGGCGAAGAGGAAACGTGTTTGGATTAGGAGATGACGAATGAAGTCATTCACGAAACTTGTGCTGAGAAAATTGTGAAGAAAAGAAGTTAATTGCAAAGGGGTTTGAGATGGGTTATTCCGTTGAAAAATTAATTAGGAGTTAAAAGATAATAATCGCGATTTAAAATTGTTAAAAGTGGAAACATCATCAAACTACTCTAAAATTCCAATGAACGAGTAAAAAGAATTATCTCTAAACCATTTTTGCATCTTTCTTTCCAATTTAATTTAAACGTGAACGTGTTACTTGCCGTAGATCGCTGAGGACAGGTGGACGAGGGAGCAGGAAACAATTTAAGCGGGGAAAAGCAGGAATGAATGCGAGCACCGATTACCAGAAAATCACGTTGCCAATTGCGTGTCGCTGGATCGCAATCATTTGACCGTTCGGACGACGGGTTCGCCATTTCGCTTCTTATATCCATTTCCCCGCGAATGATAATGGGAAATAGGCGTGGCCAACTCGAGATTTGTTATTACAATCACGTCTTAGAGCTCGAATTGCGCGAGTCGCTTCCAATGCAGCCACGAGCCGGAGCCGATTTCCTTCTTCTCCAACTCATCGACGGAGATCCAGCCTTCTTTTTGCCCATTTTCACCGTTTCTACTCGAATTAGGTACGCACACTTCTCTTATTATTATTATTATTATTATTATTCTCAGATTTCGAGCCATTCATCTAAACATATTTTACTTATTTAATATTTTACAATTTCAGAAAGATCCTCGTTCAGCAAATGGACGAACAAGGAACATTTTGACATTCCTCACGACTGAAAATCGAACGAGGATGCGCAATTATTATCTTATCGATTACTTGTTATTTGCATGTACGTAAGCGGCTCAATCATCCAATAAATTACGAAGTTGTTGCTTTACGATCTTTCTGTATTACGTGACGTTGCTCGTACGTGTCATTCGTAATCATCGTTATTCGCCTCGTCAATGATGCGTTTAAAAGGATCATCGTCTCTCGAACAGTTTTCCCTTCCTTTTTCTCTTTCTTTTTCCTTTCCTTCTGATCCCATAGTCGAAGGATCACACGAATCTCGTCGTAAAAACATCGTGAAGTCGCGCGATAAGTCGTAAATATGTTCGATTTATATAAACCATAAAAATCGAATCCTATTAGAGAACAGTGACACGTGCGTGGAAAAACGAAGCGGGAAAAGATTAAAAAAGAGAGAGAGTGAGAGAGAGAGAGAGAGAAGAAAGAAAGAAGAACGTAACGGGATCGTGACGTGTATCTGTTTCATTCCCATTAACCGATTAACCGATTGGCGAAGATCGAACCTTCTCAGTCGTTAAAGCGGATCGATAAAATCCACTATTAGATATATTCTGTCGGTGAAATAAAACTGTTACGGACGTAAGATCGATAGAATAATAATTATTAATTTTAAAGCTTGCTTAAATACGTGAAATGTGAAGCTGAAAATTAGATATACAATGTACATTTATTCAATTTTTCACGCGTAATTTCAGAATATCCATTTCGGTGGATTTTTGGTTTTTTAGATTTCGATCGTTTGTCACTCTGTCGTCATCGCACGTACATGTAACTTTCAGTTTTAATTTTTCAAATATATTTTAAATAAAATAAGAAACGTTTATTATTATTTGAACACCCTTTTTCCCAGAGAATTCATCAATTCCTCCTCCATCCTTTCCCCATCGTTCCTCGCCTCAATTTTAAGAAAAAGAAAGCTCGTTCCTCGAGAAACAAATCGTTTAACCGCTTTTCTCGAAAGCAGAAGAACGAAAAAAAGGAAGAAACACGACCTCCTCCCGTACCCAATCTCATACCCTCCTCATCCCTCAAACGAAGACATTCCACACTGCGAAATCGTAAATACACAAAGCCAATTCCTCCCCGCTTTATCGTTGGAGTGCAATCGCGAAACGATCTCGGATCGATACGGCGAGCAGCAGGCCGAGTGGGACGGGAACGAAGAAAAAGAAATCTCGCGCGCTTGGGCAAAGAAGAGGAAAAAGCAAAACGAGGCGTATTCGATTCTACTCGGCCATTAGGGCACAGCACACAACATCCACGAGAGCCCCATTCCTGGAGCCAGGCCTGGTTGCGGTTTCGCGATCGAGGAGCGGTGGATCCACGCCGATCAGAATCTCGTTCCAACGATATCGTATTCGTTTCGTGAAGCCTGCGTTATCCGCCATTCTTTCCCCTTCGATATTCCATTCCGTTCTCAATTTCAAAGGCTGGCGATCGTCCGACTTGCAGTATGGAATCGAGCTCGAAGGAACGATAGATCACGCGGCTACGTTCCCTGGATCGAGGGACGACTTCGTGATCCCGAGGATGACGAGATCCAACGCTGTTATGAGGGTCCCGAAGTGGGTATATGCGCTGTACATACGCGTGGTAAGGAAGATTTAGAGACGCAAGGATGGAACGTGTGTGTTTAATAGAGGCCAGGCTTGTTACGCGGTCGAGTTATGGAGTCGCGTTACGTGAGAGAGATTTGGAGTATATTGGTTGAATATATGAGGAGAACGGTTGGATGATTGATAAGCGGTTCTGCGTGAACAGGGAGGATCGAGAATTCGATCGAGATTTTACGGTATAGAGACATATATGTATGTATGTGTGTATGTATGTATGTATGTAAAGATATAATTCATATCTTGTATACTTATGTGAAATCATTGGAATTTGTATAACACATTTTATACCAATTTTATTAATAATAAAATGTATTCTTTTTTATTGTATATTTTTTATTTCAATTGAACCATTTCACAACCTATTCCCTAAAAAAAAAAACAATATATTCATAATTAAAAATATAACGTGCACAATATTATATTTAAATAATCAAGAATTTAAAAAATTATCAACAACAATCCCAAAAATGACAGCAATCATCACAGAAAAGTAAGTATGCGAGAAAAAGAGATATGGATACACATAAACTATGAAAAAAAAAATATTCAAAAGCATTGAAAAATGGCAAGGATGAAAAAATAAGTAGGAGAACGGTAAGTATAGGATAAATGTGTAAAAACAACTTTTAAATTCTGTTACTTTAACAGAAAATCGAATTTTTAGTCGAAAGATTCGATCTATTGCTCGAGCGCTTCGAAATTTCCAAGAATTTGACGTCAGTTGCGAGAACTTTAAAAATTCCGAGAATTTGACGTCAGTTCCAAGAATCATAGGGATTCCGAGAGATGGACGTTACTTCCAAGAATTTCAGCGATTACGAGAATTTGACGTCATTTCTTGGAAAAATTTTTCGATCGACCTCCTATCATGTCATGTTCTCCTAATACAAAATCGAATTTTAAGCCAAAAATTTCTTTCGTTCGACACATTTGGAAATTTCCACGAAATTGACGTCACATCTAAGAATTTTGGGGGTTCCGAGAATTTGACGTCATTTCCAAGAATTTTAGAGATTCCGAGAATTCGACGTCATTTCTAAGAATTTCAGAGATTCCGAGAATTCGACGTCATTTCTTGGAAAAGTTTTTCGGTCGACCTCCTATCATGTCATGTTCTCCTAATACAAAGTCGCATTTTTGGACAAAAATTTTTCTTCAATCCCGGGGATTTCGTTATTCATCCTTTTTGTTAAATATCTCCTTTATTATTAACAATATCAAAAAAAGTTTGGAATAAGAGTTGAATGGTTTCGAAAGGGCTATAATCTGGTGACCCTATTTTTTTCGTGGGTGGACTCGTAAAAATCTTCTCAAGGTCAACTTTATTTTTTTAAATGGCATCGTATACTTTTTGTAGCATCAATCGATGTATCATACTATTTTCTATAAAAAAGTACTAAGTCATTTTTAGCAAAAAACCATTAGTTAGAAGATATTAATTATCTTTTTAACTATAAGTTTTTTGCCATATATGGCTTAGTACTTTTTTATAAAGAATACTAAGGGACAGCAACTGGTGTATTAAAAAATGTATAGTTCCATTTAAAAAAACCACATTCGCGTTTATAACTCCTTAACGCTTCAATTTATAAAAAAATGAACAGCAGCAGGACGTGCCCCCCTCGAAACCAAGTAACTTTTATTCGAAACATTTTTTAATATCTCGAAAAATAAGCGAGATACATCGAGAAATGTCGTCGATTGTTCGAACAATTGGAAATTTCCAAGAATTTGACGTCAGTTCCAAGAATTTTAGAGATACACAGAAATAGGCCCGAGTTCCAAGAATTTTAGAGATTCCGAGAATTCGACGTCATTTCCAAGAATTTCAGAGATTCCGAGAATTTGACGTCATTTCTTGGAAAAATTTTTCGATCGACCTCCTATCATGTCATGTTCTCCTAATACAAAGTCGCATTTTGGGCCAACATTTCTTTCGTTCGATACATTTGGAAATTCTAAGAATTTGACGTCAGTTCCAAGAATTTTAGAGATACACGGAATTATACCGAAGTTCCAAGAATTTTAGAGATTCCGAGAATTTGACGTCATTTCTTGGAAAAATTTTTCGATCAACTTCCTATCATATTATGTTCTCCTAATACAAAGTCGCATTTTCGGCCAAACATTTTTTTCGACCCATTTGGAAATTTCCACGAAATTGACGTCATTTCCAAGAATTTTAGAGATTCCAAGAATTTGACGTCATTTCTAAGAATTTCAGAGATTCCAAGAATTTGACGTCATTTCTTGGAAAAATTTTTCGATCGACCTCCTATGATATCATGTTCTCCTAATACAAAGTCGCATTTTTGAACAAAAATTTTTCTTCAATCCCGGGGATTTCGTTATTCATTCTTTTTGTTAAATATCTCGTTTATTATTAACAATATCAAAAAAAGTTTAGAATAAAAGTTGAATTGTTTCGAAAGTGCTATAATCTGGTGCCCTCATTTTTTTCGTAAGTGGACTGATAAAAATCTTCTCAAGTTCAACTTTATTTTTTTAAATGACATCGTATATTTTTTATAACATGAGTCAATGTATCATAGTGTTTTCTATGAAAAAATACTGCGACTTTTAGCAAAAAATTATTTGTTTAAAAGATATTTAATTAAATTTATTTACTTTCTTACTATTTTTTTTACTATATAGGATGTAATGCCTTTTTATAGAGAATACTAGGAGACACCATCTGGTATATTAAAAAATGTATAGTCCTGTAATGTAAAATGTAAAAAAACAACAATCACTTCTGTAAATCCTTTACATTTCTATCTGTAAAAAAATACAATAATTTTTTGTACTTACCTGTTATTCTTACCTCCTCCTACTTACCTTTTAAATCAGTCATATTTTCAGGAATTTATCATTTTTTAACAATTTGCTTAATTCTAAGGGATTGAGGAATGTGCGGGATTAATATTATTATTTGAATATCTCATAAATTTTTGATGATATTAAAAAATGTTTGGGATGAATGTTGTATGATTTTATAAAAAGAATACTGTGATGTTATAATTTTTTATTTTTTTTATTTTTTTTTTACAAGTAAACGTATCGAGAATGTAAAGTAATTTTGTTTTTTTTTGAATAGGACAGTATGTTTTAACGCCAATAGATGCAACTCAATATTCTCTATAAAAAAAGTATTAAACCATTTATAGAAAGAAATTAGTTTAATATTCATTGAAATTTAATCATTTCCTAAATTAGAAATCATTTAAGCTTTAATACTTTTTTTATAAAGAACAGGGAGATGCATCTGCTGGAGAATTCTAAAACGTATAGTTCTATTCAAAAAATTGACACAGACTTTTATAAATCCTTCACAAATCAATGTATAAAAAAATTAATAACATCGGTATGCGTATTTCTCAAAGTATTTTATCTGAAACAACATTTTTTAATATCATTAAAAATTATTGAATTAATATTAAGATGCGTCTAGTAAGACAGGTAGTATAACGGAATACAAAAATACAACTCACATTTGTATAACATAATTTATTTCTTTTATTAAATATACATATTCTAACACTATTTACATAACTACCGATTCGTACAAATATTCAAATATATTTCACAAATTGTTACAAACACTTATGTACCATAATTACATAATACACACAAAACATGAAGAAGCTTGATCTCGTAGTTCCAAGCCGCCAATTATCACATTTTCGTCATCCACGGATAATCTGTTCCATCCGTTGAAGTGTGTCCACAGATTTCACGACGAATCTTTCCCACTTTCGTTAAGGGCTGACTGGGATAACGGTTGCTCGTTAATAAAGGGAACGGGTGTTGAACGGTGGCCAACAGCGGAAAGCATCGCTGGACAAAGATATCACGGTCCGCATTATCGCGTTTTACGGCCGTGTAAATTACAGCTCGCAGGTTTTCGCGCGGATCGAGGCCCCGCAAAAACGGGTTGGCTCGCTTTCTTCGCGCTTGTTTCTGGGCCGCGGAGGTCGTGACAATATCCAGCTGACCGTTCCACGAGATAAATCACTCGTGGATTACGTATATATGCTACGTGTTCACTTTCGATGGCTGGACGAACTGGAGCGTGATCGCGGATACAAGGCATCCCTCTTTTCTTTTCCAAAACAAATTTCGCGGAGGGACGATGTCGAGCTAAAACTTGACAGAGAATATCGATACATGAAAATCTTTTGAAATGATGATACGTGTGAAATTTTAATTAATACAATGTTATTTTATTATCTTCGTAGAGAGTAGGTAACAAATGAAGAGACAGTCAAAAAATTTGTTTAAATGGAAAACATGATTGAAGAAATTAAATCAATATCAGTTTTCTAATTGGAAGGATAAGAAATGATTTCTTATCACGAAAATGATAGATTAAGCCTCTTTTAAAATATCTTCTTTCACTTTAAGTAAGATTAACGTGACGATTATGCACGAGCAAAACTATAGGTCACCGTGTATCTTTACAATCTTTGCAACGAAATTCATCGATGATTTAACAATGCAATTATTCTCGCTCTCGTTCGTATATCGGAGAACGGTCGAAGACTCAATACGATTAGTCATAAGATCGATAAACACTTGGAAGAAATCGCTCGATTGACGGTGGAATACGACACGGTGTTGGAAAACGAATTATCGTTGGCGGGCATATAATAGGCAAGGCAATAATCATCGTTCACGAATAGAAGAGTACACACAGCGTGCGAGGTTAAATCGGTAATAATCTCTTGACAAATTCAACAATCGCGCCGGTTCGCAAACGGAATCGGCCACGGCTGACGCATCAAAGAGCTCAAAGGTGTTGCATCGATCTTTCATAACGTAATCCCGCGTGAATAATCGTGGTAAGAGGAAGAACGACGTGTGTATATTTCTCGACAATATTATGAAACGAAAGGTTTATACGAAAACATAACGATAACTCGTGAAATTCAAGAATGAAAACTTGTATGCAGAATATTAATTGCAAATTTCTTTTCTTCTCTACAGAGGGGATGAAACTCGAAATTTTGGCATTCTCTGATATATTCTAGTAAAAAAAAAAAAAAAAAAACGAAGATAACATTTGCTCGATAATTTTAGAGAAAGTCTTTTCGCGAAACTGAAAAAGTACGAAGAAAAAAA